GTAAAACTTTATATTTTATCTGTTATTTCCTCTACTCTAATTCTATACAAGGTTGGTCAATTTGACTGACCTCACCCCCCAAAAAAAAATTAAAATAAATCTAAATTACCCTCTTTTTTCTTTCTAGAATGATTTCAAATGTAGCGTGAAACTACATTCATTTATTCTAGGTAGTTTTAAACTCATAACAGTATAAATCTGTTTATAATTAAATTTTATTGTTTTATTGCCCTTTTTATTGCCATTTGAACTGTGTCTAACTACTATATAATTTGAAATCACTCGGGGAACGTGCAGTTCATGTTACGCTATCGATTTTCATTACCCATGAGCTGCTCGCATACGTGTCTCATGAAACATTTATAACATACTAATATTATTTATTTTATCTAATCCAATTTTAACTAATCTAAAAAGATCCCTATTTTTACATTTTAGTTACTTTTATAATAATAAATAAAGAATAAACATGAAAAAAACAAGAAATAAAGTACTTACACAATCTTCTTCTTTCTTGCTTTTAATTCTTGACGAATCTTAACCCTAGTTTTTTATACTATAGGTAGTAATGCACTAAATAATTTTTATTTAATTAAATAAAGCACCAAAAAATATAGACTAATAACATCCAAAATGTAGACAATTTTCCCTAACTCTTAAAAGTTTTCTGGTTTTCTAACTATGCGACAAGAGCTATTACAAATTCATCCAAGATAGTTGTTAACTTTCCCACAGGAACAATGCTTGTAGTCCTAGTGAAATTGATATTTCTCTGTTCAGAAAACAATGTTATACAATATTTCATTTGATGGATGAAAACCTTGACTTTCTATTGGTTATAGGTGATATATAATTAAACATGACAGAGAACTATAAACAAAGCCTAATGAGAGGATGTGACAGGTAGGTGTGGTAGGAGGGGTGTGATTTTCTATTTATAGCTCTGTAACCAAACAAAATTGAAGGCTATAAACATTATGGTTTGTCTGAGCAATGATGATTTTATAGTGAGCCATTTCTGTTTAATTTCATACATTTTGAAGGGGTGGTGGATAAAATAGAGAAGATGCCTAGAGAAATTTTGTTACCGTGTGACACTAGGGGAAGTTTGGGATTTTTTCAAAATATTTCCTTATAGAATTAAAAACTTACAAACTACTAAAATATGGATTAATAGCTAAGCGGTTATGCCATATTAATTGGTATAACTTAAACAAAAAATAGTTTAATAAACTTTTGAATGTAAGACACTAAAACGTTGTGTCATCCACAGTAAAGGATGCCCATCGCAAAAGTGTTAAATCACAATAGTTATAGAATACTGTTTACTTTGTATGTGTTATTATTCTGTGTTCTTAGGTGCTCCATTTAAGTAAATAAAAATTATTTAGTGTACTAAGTATCATCAGTATAAAAAAAATTAGGCTTAAATTTTATTGGTAATGACAGCAAAAAAAACACAAGAGGTCAAAGGTAATTATTATATTTCTTGTTTTTCACATATATTTTTATATTTATTGTTATAAAAGTAACTAAAATGTAAATATTAGAAACTTAATAAGTTAAATAAAGTTACATCAGGTAAGATAATGAAAAAAATATGATAAAAATAATTCTTAGTTTGAAGTCATTCAAGAAAGAAAGTAAGTGCAATTTAAATTTTGTATTTTTGTTTTATGGTGATTATGAAGTCGATCAAATTGACTGAATCCATATAGAGTTATGGCAGAGAAAATAAATAAAATATAAAGTTTCATTGAAAAAAAAACGTTTGATATTTATTTAAGAGATTACACAACAGAAACTTGAAAATTTTCGATGAAGAAAAGTATTTTTAATCTCAACATGAAAATCACTTTGCACTCAAAACAGTCAACACTGACTCCATATGTTCATGGATAGATCTTCAGTTAGAATACTTAATTACAAATCACATTTTCTGTGTACAAAAGACCTGTAATGTTTACTGAAAATTTGCCAAATTTCGTGAAAATCTATGCACCATATTAAAAGTTACAGTATGGAAACTCAAGGGGTTACTTTGGGATTAGTAGGTTGGTGTAATCCACTGACCCCATATGGGGAGGGGGGAAAAAAAACAGGTCTTAATTTAAAAAGTTTAGGAATGCTGAACCTGTTCAAGTTCAGGGTTGAGAAATTTTTGACTCTATATGACATTATGTTATACCTATAAATGAAGTAACAGCAGTAAAAGCTTCTTCTCTCACGTCTCTCACTCTTTTCTCAAACTCGGCATAATCTTCGATGCATACCTGCTGTCCCAGAGTTTCTAATTCATTAATGTCAGATTTTAGTTGTTGCACAGTTCGTGATGCATTTACTTGTTCTATATGGACTTGCTGCCATAATCCAAGATCTTGAAACTGAAAAGAAAAATTTATTATAATGTATCTAAGCTTCATGGACAACAAATTTCAACTGAATGCATGCAAATTAATCATAGAATATGTGGTACTCCTCACTTGCAGTGAGACCAAGTCCAGAAAAAGCTGAGTATTTGTATTTTTTAAAGATTTTACCACCGTATAAGGAAAAATTAATCTTCATATTATGACTACACTAGAAATACAGAACATATGATATGTATTACATTATAATATACACATTTTTTAACTTACATTTTACATATTTTACTCTCAACTACCCATCTTGTTATTAACAGATTACTTTTACATTTACAGTATAATATTTTATTAGGGAAAAAATTACTTCTCAGATTTCTATAAAAGTTAACAAAATCAAGTTCTACTATATATATATATATACTTAATTTCTAGAAATAAGAAGCAACTACCCCCCTCCTCTCTCTTTATATATATATATATATATATTGAGATCTAAAAAATCTATATATATTTAGAATTGTGTAAAAAGTATCACTAAACCCTACCTCAGAATTATAAATTATTTCAGGAACACTGAGTAACACAATATTGAAAGTCAACTTAGATCAAATATATTTCACATTTTACTTCCATGCTTTCAGCAAGATTGTGAAATCACATATCATTGCAGATAATTGGTAAGCATTGTAGTATACAATGCAATGTTAAAACTGTGAAGTTAAAAATGAGTAAAACAGTCCTTAATAATTTTTATATTTCTGTGTTTAATTTGTACAAACTATAATGCGATGGTTTTATTGTTTGGAAATTATTACGTGTTCTACAGTAATTCCTGTACACTGAATCAAAAAATTATATCCATTTTTCTCCATCACCTACAGATTTTTCACAAAACGTCATATGTACTTTTTACATAAGTGAATCATTTTCTTTGAAATCAGGCCACATTTTGTTATGCTTAAAATGTTAACAACCACTGGCTATAGATTTCTCTAGACCAATCGCGAAGTGAGAGTCTCATCAATCGTTTTAGAACCGAAACATAACAAACATAATAATAAAAAATTTTCATTGTGGTAAACAAAATAATAATGTGATCTAAGTAACAGTTTTTTGTTCTTCTTGATTTGTAAAAAAATCCTTACACGATAGAAAAAAATTAATATTATTTTCGAAATCTGCATAGCTGAATCATGGAAAATCCATTATTAAAACCGATACAACTTTTATGAAGTTTAAATTCGCAGGCCTGTGTAATCAAATGATAACTGCATCTGCAAATGATCCAAACAAATTTACATGATTGATTTTTTAGAACATACTGTATTTTGTGTGCCAAAATTATTGAGAAACACGTATAATAATAATAATATATTTATGAATAACCAATTTTATTATTACTGGTTTTTGAACTAAAACATTTCCTTTGTTAACAAATTTCTTTAATTCTTGCACATATATAAAAGACTGCCTATGATCTACAAATATACAATAACAGCTTAGTTAAATTAAAAAATCTGCCAGTAGGATGGTTTCTGGTAGCATACATACATGTATTCTTTATCCACTTGTCAATATGGTTTCTGGTAGCATACATACATGTATTCTTTATCCACTTGTCAATATGGTTTCTGGTAGCATACATACACATATTCTTTATCCACTTGTCAATATGGTTTCTGGTAGCATACATACACATATTCTTTATCCACTTGTCAATATGGTTTCTGGTAGCATACATAC